ACTTACTTAGATAATTAATGTATCTATATTAAATAAAAAATTATATTATAAAAAACGTATATATATCATTTAAATAGAAAATATATATATATATATATATATATATTTCAACTTAAAGCCATATCACATGGGAGATGATTCAATAGGTAGCATCTCTATTTTTTTTTTTTTTTTTGTCTGTCTTCGGAATATAGTTACATTGCATATTGATTATAAGCAGAAGGCTCTTCTGTTTGAATATCAGAGTATTCCACCAACAGCATTCATTTACAATAATAACAGTAATAATAAAGCTACCCTCGATTCTTGTTCGAAGTATACATATTAATGGTGATGTTGCATACATCTTCCCACTTACTATTAACCCTGAGAAGGAAACAAAAGAAAAATCATATCAGGATTTCTCATATTTTAGTTTTAATTAGTCTCTGATATTCAAAATCTATCTTTACCAAGATTCAGAATTTTTACCAGTTCCATCCTTTAAACATATATCTTGGACAGGGCTGCCATGGGCTAATCTGCTATTCGGGAAGCAAAAGATTCATCTCTTGATCCCCCATTTTCATTATCCAAAATTTGGTAAGGAATGTCATGGTTTGCATCCTCAAGAAATCCTGCATGAATGGAATCTTCCTCTCTGGAAAAAGCAAAAGGTTAAGGATAATTAAGCAACAGGAAGTTTGCACAATGGAGATGCTTATAGAAATTCACGTGGAAAGGTTTAGAGATACGATCACATACGCGATTGAGTAAATAATGAGTCCAATAACTACAGCAGCGAAAGCAACATAGTACAACCAGTCGACCTGAAATATGAAGCTAAACTCTTTTAGAATATTCTGGAAAGGTTACTGACTCCATCGAGGGGGAGGAAAAGTTCAGTAAAAATTTGCAAACATTGTATTTTTAATTCAGCTACTAATAAATTCCTTATTGGACCTTTTATATAAATCTTAGCATGACAATTGGAACATAAGTTGTTCTTTTAGTTACCATCACCTTGTAATGAATTCATGATGATAAAATTCAATTTAACCTTTCAATGTGAGGAGTAAATTCTCACCATCAAAGGATTCAAGGTAGGAGCGGTCTAAACTAAAACACAACAAATTATATTCCAATTATATATATTAAGGTTAATATGAGAAGTAGAAATAGAAATTGACTAGAGAATTGAATTAGAAATGAATCAAATACAAAGTTTAAGGATGCAAATGAAAATGGTACCCTCTGATGGTAGAAGAAGATCCGAATGATGACAGCCCACATATCTGATGTGAGCAATGAGAGATTGAACATTGTGGCTCCACTCAACTGTAATCAGAATTCTTCAGTTAGATATAGTAACCACAGATATTTTCATTCATGATTAATGCAAAGACTTAGAATGTAGGTAAGGACTTTAGGTTAAAGGTCAGCATGGTTTCATGCAACGAAAAGTATTCAATATGATTGTTAAAGAGAAGGAAATTAACCTTGAGAACAAAAGGAGCCACGGAGTAGAACACAAAGCATGCAGAAGTATAGCCAACGAAAGCTAATATCTGAAAACCATTTCAAAAAACATACTCGGTTTGAAAATTTGTAAGTAGCATAAAGATTACATGAGAAAGTGGATAACTCATTAAGTTGGCATATTGAAGAAACATCCCAAATTCACTATTCATTTGGATGGGGGAAAGTTGAATCTATAATGTATCTTGATTTTATCCAGAAATTTGGGCATTTTTTTCCTGTAGCTAACATATATATTGCTTCTAATTCATAAATTGGCTTACTTAGCATTTTGCAAGATATTGGGATTAAAGTTTAAGCATGAATCATAAACACTTGTAATCTTCAGCCTTTTTAGTGAGAATGGGTTCCATCTCTTCAATATAGCAGATCAAGATGACTGAAGAACACATATTCGATTGATTATTTTGCTGTTTCATACTCAACAACAAAAAGGCACGAGGTCAATTGGCCCATGGTCAAGCATTATCCATTTACCTTTTCATTACCAACTATGCCTTAGTGTCATTGTAATACATTCTTTTCAATCCTAGAGTACAAATCCAACTTTAACGTCTGGTCAAGGCAATGAATTCAACTATATTTAAGTCTATGTTAACTCAATATGGTAGCAAAAGATTGCCTCTCAATCTAATTCATAATTTAATCTCAATTAGCAAGGAAACTCATGGATGGCCAAGAAACATATAAAAACTGGCTATTGAAAATTTCAATCTTCATATTTTATCTTGTCTCAACTAAACATCCCTTAACCAACCTAACCACTAGATTCTTTATTTCTTTTCAAATAAAAAAGGTGTTCCTTTTACTTTATGTCAAAAAAAAAAAGGTATTCCTTTTCCTGAAAGGAATGATAGAATCAAAGGTATTCCTTAGACTTACTATATCTGCAGACCACTCTACTGATTCCAGACTCTTACGCTCCAATATTGATCTATAAAGAAAGTTATGGAATCAAAGTAACAATATGTCTCAATTTAAGGATATATTACAATTCGTGTAACTCTAAAATTAACACCATTCTTCAAATATAATCATCAAAAGAAACAACCAATACTATGTTAAACTCTATCATCTATGTGAACCACTACATATTCTCGTACTTACTCGAGTGGATTAACATCTTCTAAGAAGATAAAATTAGATTTTAGAGGATTGAAGACCCATGTTAACTATATATGATTTCTGAAGAAAAGGATACAATTCCACCGCGCTTACAAGCATCCCAAAGAACCCTATCATGGTAATCACTTCAACACGATCCTTTTTCTTTACGCAAAATTCCTGCAATTCAGGAGTTACTGGAGGGAAGTAACTTGAAAAATATATGATTAGAGATCAAAACGGGACAGAATATTGAATGATGTCTAGCAGATGCTCCACATTTGAGCACCAATGAGAAGATGAGATTTCAGAAGAGAAAGTTTAGTGAAATCCACCAACCTCACCAACATTGCTCATGGCAAAAAACACTGTTCCAGCAATAACAAGTGCATCACCGAGAAGAGGCTTTGAACCACCTGAAAGAATAAGACCTTATTTTGATTTACATTACTCTGCCAATAGGTAAGGGACTATATATAGCAAGGAGAGATGAGCCTTTCCATGAGGTTTCTCTTGTGATCTTTCCTGTGTCTATGAACATACACAATAGAGACAAGTAGCAGCGTCTATCACCAAAAATATATAGGCATTGATGTCAACACCAATTGGAAAACCAGTCTTAAACATAAGTTACCAAATGGATAAGCACTTCTAATATAAATTAATAGAAAGACTTAAAATCTAAGAAATTGGCATCCTCATAGTCTTGTTAAAACCTGAGAAAGAAAACAAAGACTTAAAAAGCAGAGATAAGGAAGCATTACCTCCACCACCCACCCCAGAATCAGAGACTAGTACTAAGCCAAGGCCAACCAAGCAGAGGGCTGCACCGAACATTTGTATTAGAGAATATCGGGTGCCTAGGAAAATCCGTGTGAGAATTATAGCCCATGCTATAGTCCAACAGTCCAATAGTGTCACGCTAGTAATTGAAGAGAACTGATATGCTTTATTAACTGCACCAAACCACAAGGGAAGCTAATGATTTGCAATAATCCAAACAGAGAACTAACAGATCAATGTTGAATAAAGTAATTAAAACGATAGATATTTATACTTTCTATCTGATAACATGAACCACTACCAGAGCATGAAACATATTGAACGTAATTTTTATGTTCTTGAGAGATTATTGTTGGGCCATTACTCACCAAGGAAATTCCCTTGTACGTCAACAAATCCTAAGAGGAGATACCAATACCAAGGAACCTGCAAATTCCAGAACAAAATTCGGACTTCCGTTTCACCCATTTTGTTGGTTATTTCAATTCTAAATCATCATAAAATCAAGATAGACGTACAGTTTTACCCGTAATATTCTCGAGCACAGTTACACATGTTTGTACTTCTAAATAATATCGAAAATTTTAAGAGTAAACAAATTAAAAGTTAATTAAAAAATTTTAAAAATAGAAGATAATATCCTAAAAGCTACTGAACTAATGATACTAAACTGCAGAAAAAGAACCATTAAACTGGCTAAATAACATGGCCGAAGCTGTAATCTGTCCTTAAACTCAAAACTGAAACTCCATTACTGCACTAATTCATTTCATACTCTCAAAAAATTTCGAAGAAAAAAGCGAATGCAAAACATGGACTATTACCCGTAATTTTTGGCGCCTATAAAGCAAAATGCTACCATAAACCAAAGCCAAGCTAGAATAAGCAAACGCCGATTGCGTAATTGGCGCATCAACCCCTACAGAACACCCATTTAAGCACAACATTCGAAAACAAACTACAGCAATAAACTGCTACTGCAAAAATTTAAAGAACCAACACCCGAAAATCTAGTTGAAAAAAAAAAAGATTAAAAAATATAACCAAATAAATTTCAAAAGGTTAGTTCCGCGAGGTTACCGAGATTTGCTATCAGTGAAGAAGTGAAGTTCATCAGTGCGAGAAAGAAAGACACTAGCTGACCTATAAGCAAAAGACACAGAGTTCTCCATGTCAAATGGCGTCTCCACCAGCTGTTCATGGCAGAAAAATCCACGGTGAAAACCGTCGAAAGAAAGCAAAATAACAGGAAATTAATAACAGGACTTGCGTTCGTGTACCTTAAGTTAATTATGGTCGCTGGCTCGTGGACATCTCCAGCTACCCGTCGTCAACGGCAGCGAGAGTCAGAAAGGTCGTCAAAGCTTTCTTTTCAGAATACAAAACTGCAAATGGAGGTCACGTTTTTTAAAATAATTAATTTTTTTATAAATAAACGATTTTTAAAATTATTCCCGAGTAATTATTTGATACTCAATCTTTAATAATTGACCGGGAGGAATTAAAAAAATATTTAAAAAAAAAAAAGCTAAAATAAATAATTGACCCATCCACGATCCACGAGGACGACAGGCTTCACAATTTTCCTTTTTTTAAAGGTTAAATCTTAAATTAAGGGCTAAATATTTATTAAAAAACAAATACATGTAAAATTTTCAGTTTATTAATTATTTAATATAAAAATCGCATTTAAATAAAAAAATTTCAGTAATTATATAATTAACATTATTAATATTTTATTGTGTGTCATTAAAATTTATCATGTCAATATATAAATATATAAATGTCATGTCAATATAAATTGACTCAACCCCATTAAAGTATGTTAGGTTCTGAGTATTTATGAGATGTTAAAACAACAAATGAATTATTGGATCCCGTGTACATATATAATTTCAAATATTTGTCAATAAATTATAAAACAACATGAATTTTTAGCCCAGATTGAAACTTTTACCCCTCACAAAAAATGGCCCAAAGCTTAAACATTTAATAAAAACAAATGGGCTTTGACTTAAACTTTTCAAAATTGACTTGCTTTTTTTCTTAAAGAAAAATAAGTATCATAATTGTAATTTATAAATTATTTTATAAAATTACTTTTTGAACAAAAAAATTATATAATTTTTTATTTATATAAAATAATATTTACGTCATTTTTACATAATTATAAAAGTACTAAATGAATTGAAAATGAAAATTCTTTCCAGCCGGCTTGGAATTTTTTTATACTTCGGCCTTAAGCTAATGTCACCTTGGATCTCTGTGTAATTTAAATTTTATATAACTCTAAGTTTAATTTAATAATTTCAAAACTAATAAATAACACACACAAAAAATATGGTGAATGTTAAACACGTTTTTAAAATAACAAGTTTTAAGTCGTACAACTTTTTTTCTAAATATTTTACTTAAATTAAAAAAAATATTTGGTAATTCTTAAATAAATAATTATCTTTGGAATTATTTGATCCACGACAAGTGTATTCAAACTTTAAAACCATCATTCCTAAAAAAACATTGAATTTCTATTTTTTTTTTTTAATTCATTCAAAATTTTCATAATTTATGTATTAATTTAGTTTGCCGTGTCTATCTAAATTAATTACAAAATATTTTTTTACAAAAAATAAATAAATTTTATATTTTTAATAAAATATTTATTCGTAATTTTTAAATAAAATAAAAAAATTTCAACAATTAAAACACTGTGTTTCGTATAGTTTTTTGTTAAATTTCAATAAAAATAAGTAAACTTATCTAATTTTGAAAAACAAAATATTTTAGTTATAATTACGGTAAGTAGTAGCATGATTACATATATTCAAAGGAAAAAAAAAGATATGATTAAATATAATAAGAAAATATTTAAATAATAATAATAATATAGTTTTTTTAATAATAATTTACCCATTCTTTTTGGCCTAAAAAATGATTAGCCTACGCAGCTGCGCTCTAGTCTTTACTCATAAGCTTTAGGAGCCTGACTCGCACCAACCGGCCGGCCCAAACCGGCCAATCCCTTATGATTGTCGATTGAGCACGCAATATCTGACGACAAAAGCAGAGGGTCCAGCTAAGCACACTCTGATTACCCATTACCATTAATAATAATTTATGATGTCACATTTCTTAATTTTTTTATTTTTTATTATTTGCTTTTTTGTACGTATCTTTTCAAATTATTACTCTGTTTATTCTCGTGTATACTGTTTTATTTCTTCAACCAAAATTAGTATTTTATCCCTTTTTTTCTATTTATACTTTTTTGTTACTTTAATATAATAATTTACTTTTTGACCAAAATAAAATTTAACTTTAATACATAAAAAATTCACTAAAAATATAATTTATGTAAAGATTTGAAATTTAAAAGAAATGAATTCATATTTTAATGTCGAAAGCAAACAATAATATTAAAGTTTATGTTATTTACACAATAAATTAGAATGGCCAACAGATATACAAAAATGTCTATTTTATAATGGATTGTAAAAAAAAAAACAAAATAAGCGTTTGAAAAAAGTAAATAAATGTTCTAAGGGGTTAACCTCCAGTAACACTTGATGGGGTCCGGGAGGTAATATACTCGCAGCTTTCATGCTGATCAGGATCTTAATA